ACACTCTAGGTGCTGGGATTTTTTTTTTTCGGTACAAGGCAACGAGTAAAACTCTCCAATGCAAAACATCTGGATGCTAAACAGATGCGTTCGTTGGGCGCGGTGTCCCAGGTTTTATTTGTTCGCCCACACGTAAGGCTTGGATTAAATTGTCGTTATTGTTATTGATCGTTATTATCGTTTATACTGGAATGGAAAAGGCGATCCGAGAACGGTATATGGGGGATGAATGTGCGATGAAGCACCTTCAGTTTTGCACCTACTTTTTCTTCCTGCGGGAGGGCAAGAGGTGTGTGGGGGGGAGAAGATGCAAACCCAAATCACACTCAAAATATGCAGTCGAGACGGGGGGCTTCGGGAAACCTGTTTCCAAGCACGACGTGACACATCCAAAATTTCCGGAGCTGGAGAAGAAGGATCGCACTTGCTGCCGGCGTTTTTCTCAGCCGGCGACTCCCTCTTGCCTTGGGCTGCTCCGCACTCCGCACCCCGCGCAGGCTTCGCGCTGCCGCCGCGCCCGCGGAGAGGGGCAGGGGAGGGCCAGGGCTCTTCGTGGAATTTTCTTGCGGATGATGTAATTTTCATTTCGTTAGTGGTATTTCATTAAATCTCTCCTCTGGGTGGCCAGCGTAGGAAATACTGAGTGGAATCTCACTGTTGTGTAAATAAACAGTGCATATTTTATATGATTCGAATGTGTAGATAATTAGTTTTATTGCATTCATTATCCCCGTTATGTGCTCTATAACAAGTCTGCAATTAAAGTAAAAAACTCATAAAGTCTTTATAGCGGCGCTTAACTCGCACAGTATTTACCAGGCTAAGTAGTTTCATTCAAAACCAGAGAATGAGCACGGGGACTTTACAGGCTCCTGTGCTTCGCGCTAGTTTAATATACATTAAAAACGCTCCGAAGAGGTACTTCATTACAGCAGTGACTGAGGTTTTATTTGGGAGGAGGGGAGAGGGCATGTCACTATGAGTTACCAGAGGGTAATAAAACAAAGCATAAGATTCTTGAGCCACTGAGGATTCGGGTGATAGTTTTATGGCGAGGTCTGATAGTTTTATTGCGGTTGCATGTTGTACAATGTGTATTTGATAAAGAACTGCCTTTGGTGGCCCGTGGACACCTTTTGTGCACCGGCGAAATGAAAATAAATGTGAACACGGTCTTAGTGTGAGAGTGGAAACAAATTGCGAGCTCTAAATGGTTCTCCCTTTATGGTCAGCAGACAAGAAGAGAAAAGCGCTGCAAACATCTGTCTTCCGTTCCCCAAATCTATAGGGCACCAAAGAATGATGCGAATCTAAGAGTTACTACAGCGGGGATTTGTCTTTATTTACCCGCGCTCTCATGAATATGAATACGCGTTTGGGGCAAGGAGGTGCCTCCACCCCTCCAACAACACAGGGCATTAAAAAAAAAAAAAATCCGAGTGCATTTCCTCTGGGGGGAACCTTTTGTGCCGCGTTTCTTTCACCGCTGCAACACCGCTCTGTCTCCCGTGTCCGGGGAAGAGGGGCCGCCGTCGGGGCTGCGGGGCCGCTCGGTATCGGCCCTCGGCACGGGCAGCGGCGGTGCCCACCCCGGCACCTGTCCCCGGGTTTCCCACTCCGGCGGCTCCGCTGTCACCGTCACGGCCGACTCCGCACTGCCGCGGGGATGGTTCGCCTCACCCCTCAGCCCCCCCGCGTCGTCCCTCCGCCAGGGTTTCGCCCGCTTCCCCTCCGAGAGGTTTGGGCTCCAGTTGTTCTTTCTACACGCGAGCGGCTCTGCCGCAAAAGTTGTAGCAAATGGGTAATTTGATTATTCCCACTATAGGCCAACTGCCTCAGCGGCCTTCCCCCACGCGTCTGGCTGGGGGCAGAGAAACCATCTCCAAGGAATAATCAAATCAAGGCGAAGTGTGGAAAAACCCCTTCTGATTTCCAGGCGACACAAATAGAATTAGAGCCTCCCATTTGCTTCACCCCCTCTTTTTTTTTTCCCTTCCAGAAGAGCCTTTTTGTCTCGGTCACAAACTCTGGCCCAGCCGGGCTACGCGGTGTGCGCAAGATGCGCGGGGTGCACGGCGGCGGGCGGCGCGGAGGGGTAGGGTGATGGAGTAAAACAGGGTGAGAATGTAAAAGCCACTTTTCTTTCCTCTCCTTCGACACTGAGAGAGGCCCGGTCAGCTCTCCTCAGGCTGCGGGAGGAATGCTCGGAGGCAGCGGAACAAAACAGGGAACAGCGCGCCTTTGTGCGGCCGCCGCCGGCCATGGGAAAGCTCCTCCCGGGCCCCGCTCTGATAGCTCTGGGACGCTCCCATCCGCCAGAATAAAATGTTACATATGGGCGAGGGCTTCTTTGACACTGCTTTATTCGGAAGGACCGGCCAGAGCATCCCACCTCACCGAGGCCAGTCCTCTGGAGCGCGGGCCTCCGCAGGTCGGGGCGAGCAGTACAGCGGGCCCGTCACCGCCCCCGCAGCCGCAGCGGATGACAGGACCGAAGGGGCCTGTGACACGTGTTGGTTGTCCCCCGGTCACAGCATGAGGGTGCGGGGACACGCTCCTGCTCCCGCCGCTTCCGGGGCTCTCCCAGTGGCTGCATTGGCTGCGCTCCGCGGCCCTGCTTGGCCACTGCCTCCCCGCGTCTCTCCGCGCTAGCTCAGGATGCGCTCTTGGCTGGTCTTCTACTGCCTAATCAGTTGAGATGGGGGATTTGCAATAGTAATGATGATGGTGATGAAGAAGGAGGACGACTACTACTACTACTACTGCTACTGCTACTGCTACTACTACTAATCCTTTTTTAATTGTTCAATCCCTCTCCCGGCTGCTCGGACGTGGCTTTCGGGAGGCGGCCAGCAGAGGGATCTGCGCTTTGCTTTTCCCCCCCGGTCGCGGCTGCCGAGGCGGCGACGGCAACATCTGCTGGGCTGGAGAAGACAGGGCGATTGAGCAGACGCACAGATGTAAAAGTGACATCTGCTTGTGACAAAGGAGCGGGAATTAGATTAGGAGGGGAGGCCTTTCTGCGATTAGGAGGAAAAAAAAAAAAAGAAAAAGAAAAAAAAAAAAAAGGGAAAGGAAAATACTATCTCTTCAGACTGTGTAAGCAGGGGAAGAGGATGTGAAAGGCAGAAATGCTCGCTGGGCAGCTGCTAGGACAGCCGGGGCAGCACAAGGGTCCTGGGAGCTGAAATAGCCCTAAGAGAAGGCTTTGCTTTTCCCTCTAGAAGCAGAGAAGTGGCCGGGTCAAAGCTTTCCATCATTACGAGTGAAGGACAGAAGGCAGCATGGTGCTGCGGAGACTCGGGCAGACCAGCAGAGATGCCCTCCTGCAGCTCCTGACCACGATGCTGGCACTGGCTAGGTTGAGGGACCCAGATCTGGACACTTCTGTTCTTTGTTCATTGATGGAGGTTCGTGTACTCAAAAATAAGGGGGCAGGAGGCCTGACTGTTGCTTGCCTTATGAACTGTCCAATTTTGCTTCCATTAGTTAAAAAAACAAGCAAGCAAACAGAACGAAACCACAGCCACAAATTTAAGTTTAGGCATGTTTGGTAAAGCAGAAACACACCCAACAGAGACTTTGCCTGTACCAACTTGCATTGCTTAGAAAGAGAAGCACCCCCCACATTTCAAATCATATAATCCGTTCTGCAAGCAATATAACTTTTCACAATTATATTAATACTGTTATTGAATATCACCGAATATCATGGTGGTTTGGTTTTTTTTTTTTTTTAGCTCCAGCTTTACATCTAGGAATACTTGATGGTCTTGCAGAGCAGGAGAAATAGTAGGACTGAATTATATTTCAAATGGTAGCAAAAATGTGCTGTACTGCAAAAATAGCAAGTTACAACATATGATGTGCTGTGCACTGGGGCAGATTTAGTGATTCCTCTTATCGGGCCTTGCCTCTAAACGTGATGAAGCTGGTCAAAGGCTATTGAACCTTTCAAAGACTAGACT